ATATTCCTCAATTTGTATCACCATTCTCCCTATCCTTTTTCAAATTATTTGACCAGGATAAAGTCTTTGCCCCGTAAGCTTCTGATCTAACTTTCTGTGTTGCTGTTACCAGTTTGATCAGATACAGATAATTCGTTAAAAGGGCACAATGCTCAGGGCAAACTTTCTTTACTAATTAAGTAAGCTAAACTATTATATAGTTTAATGATAACTTAAGAGGATATTTTGGTTTAACATTTAAAAGTTACCTCAGGACAGTAGTTTCAGGGAGACATCCAGCCTCCGTGGCTGCAGATAGTGGAGATTCTATGACAATTTGAAATTCTGTCCCACATTTTCCCCTCCCCTTATGATCACGATCCTTCTAAGGAATCTTTGATCAGTAAGGGTAACTGGGCACTATCTAGTTCTTCTGGTCTCATGGCTACATATCTTAGTGCCAATCACTTAACCTACCAGAGCATCAATTTCTCCTTTTTAGTATAGAAATAATAGTCCTTATAGAGTGTTATTGTGTGGCCAAAATAAGATATTGTATATTATTCACTGTATAGTAAGACCTGCAGGTGACACAACCTGGCTTGCTGGAAATGCAGATGACATGAAAAACTTACTGATGAACGTCAAAGGCTACAGCCGTCAGTATGGTTTACACCTGAACAGGAAGAAAATGAAAATCCTCACGACTAGACCAATAAACAACATTATGACAAAGGGGGAAGAAATTGAAATTGTCAGTAAATACGTTCTACTTGGATCAACAATTCACTGGATGGAAGCAGTAATCAGGAAATCAAATGACAGATTTCATTGGTTCAGTTTGCTGCAAAAAACCTCTTTAAAGTTTAAAAAGCAAATGTCACTTTAACGACTAAGGTGCACCTTACCCAGCCATGGTCTTTTCATTTACCTCATGCATGTGAAAATTGGATAGTAAAAAAGGTAGGCAGAAGTGTGATGTGTTTGAACTATGGTGTTGGTGAAAAATATTAAAAGACCATGAAGTGCCAAGAGAACGAATAAATCAACCTTAGAAGAAATATGAGTAGAACGTTCCTTAAACACGAGGATGGCAAGACTGACTCATTTACTTTGGACACGTCATCATAATAGACCAATTACTAGAAAAAGACATTGTGTTTAATAAAGTATAAAATGTGAGAAACCCTCAACAGATCAATTGACAGAGTAACTGCAACAATAGACCAATAGACAATACCAATGATCTTGAAGATAGCCCAGGACTAGACAATATTTTGTTCTGTTACACATAAGGTCATCATGAGTCGGAACCAACATTATCACTGAAAATATCAACGTGAGTAATATTAAACAATGCATAAGTAGTATTTCAAAAAGACTATTCTTTGTTAAAATAGATTAATTGAAAAACAATTACAGAATTCTGGACATAGAACAATTGTAGTAAAAGCTTTCTTGAACAGTCTCTACTTGTTAGAATTAATCTATCAATTTTCCATGTCCTTGTATGCTGAACACTGTTATATCTATAAACTTCAGGTCCTGAGATTTGAAAGGTAGTCTTACCAAGATGTGTTTATCTTATTTATGTAGTTGAAGTTTTTGTTATAATTATACAATTCAGTATTACATAAATTAGTAAAAATAGCTCAAGGAAAAATAGTTATTTTATGAAAATTATATTGACTGCTTAGGGAAAACTTGATAAAGGTGAATGTTCAAATTTGGTATGAATGAGACAATTACAAAAGGGAAATTTTTCCTAAAAATTTAGAAAGATTCTGTATTCCTACTGCTTTACAAGTGTTTAAATTATTTACTCTACCTTTAAACATACTAAAACTATACCTACCAGCCACTCCTCGGAAGGAAGGTTGAGCAATCTACTTCTGCAGTGATACCGCCTTGGAAACCCAAGGAGAGGTTGCTGTGGGTTGAGTCCGACTCAAAGGCACATAACAACAACATACCAGTAGATCCATACTCAGACCAAGAACTGAGATTAACATTAGGAGATTTGCTTAAAATCCATGACTGTGTTTTAATTTAAAAAAAAGAAAAAAGTATAATGTGTGTATGTATCAGTTATAATTACTTATTTTTATAAGGTATTTTTGATTAATTGCTGAACTACATATATTGAATAAAAAGGCTTAGATTGTAAATCATTTGAAGAAACGTTGTGTCCAGTATCACTTTGTAGTTAGGAGCTTAGGTTTTGAAGTCAGGCAGATTTCATAACCATTAAAAATGCATGTAAAGAGCATAGCATAATGTCTGGCACACAGTATACATGCAAATGCTGGTTTGTTTTTTTTGTAATTCAATTAAAATTCTACTTCTAATTTAGCTTCTGTATAATGAATGGCATTCAATATTAGCATAATGGAATGGTCACATTCTTCAAGGAAAATACTAAATTCTACCTTCTCATGAGGCTTTTTGTTGATAATCCAATGAAAAGAGATCCCTTCCTCTGAGGTTCTTGCTACTTTATCTGAATTGTTAATAGCAAAATCAGTGAGATGATTGATATTATGTGCTTGTTCTAGCTCTACTTGCAGTGGAAGCTCTTTAAGGTCAAGGATCATGTGACTGAGTCCCAGACTCTAGTACAGTAGTACCGGGCACAAAGTGGGGCCTTAAAAGGCATTTTTAAATAAAAAGAATATTTTAGGTTATTGAGAAAGATAAAAGGATGATTAGGCCAGAACTCATTGGAAAACTAACATTTTTTTAATGTGGTAAACTAATTTTTGCATTTCAAAAATTAGTACATGATGTACCAAAGAGGAAGCTTCAATTGAAGTTTTACTTTTACCTAGCTCTAAACAGACTACAAATTAACATCAGAACATTCTAATTAAAAAACTAGATTTTCAAGCAGAGTTTAACAAGACAGAAAATAACAAATGCTAGTGAGGAGGTGGAGAGATTGGGACTCTCCTACACTGCTGGTGGGACTGTAAAATGGTACAGCCACTGTGGAAAACAGTGTGGTGATTCCTTAAAAAGTTGGAAATAGAAATACCATTTGATCCTGCCATTCTATAACTGGATGTATATCCTAAAGAAGTGAGAGCCATGACAAGAACGGACATAGGCACACCCATGTTCATTGCAGCACTATTTACAATAGCCAAAAGATTTGAGCAACCTAGGTGTCCATCAACTGAGGAATGGATAACCAAACCATGGTACATACACACAATGGAATACTATGCAACGCTAAAGAATAATGTAGAATCTGCAAAACACCGCATAACATGGATGAGCTTGGAGGACATTATGTTGTGAAATAAGTCAATCACGGACACATATTGTATTAGTCTGTTATTGTAAAAGTCAAGGAAAGGTTTATATATGGAAGGAAATTTTCTTTGTTGGTTACCAGGGGTGAGAGGGGAGGGGAGGAGAGGGAACACTGTTAGATAGGTAGAAATAAGTATTGATTTGGGTGAAGAGAAGGGCAATGTACCAAATATGAGTAATCAAAATGGTGACTTGAGGAAGAGGAAGACATAGAGAGGTACATGGGAGGTGCAGACAACAAAGATGAACCCTTTTGCACATACAGTACTGCGTTGTCATGAAGGCAGACACAGGTATACAGATGGATAGATGGGTGGGCAGGCTGAGCTATTAGGTATGTCTTTGCAGCAGGGAAGGAGCTCTGGTAGCATAGTGCCTAAGGCACTTGACTGCTAACCACTCCTCGGAAGGAAGGTTGGGCAATCTACTTCATAGAGATACCACCTCGGAAACCCAAGGAGGGGTCGCTATGAGTTGGGTCCGGCTTGATGGCACATAACAAAAACAACAACATGCACTAGGAAAGGAGCTCTGGTAGCATAGTGCCTAAGGCACTTGACTGCTAACCAGAAGGCTGGAGGTTCAAACCCACTGGCCATTCCTCGAAAGGAAGATGGGGCAATCTACTCCCATAGTGATAATGCCTTGGAAACCCAAGGAGGAGTCACTATGAGTCAGGTCCGACTTGACGGCACATAACAACAACATGCAGCAGGGAGTGTACCCAACACCATGTATAGGGTTGGCAGACAATGATTCTACAAGTGTATTTGTATGTTCTGTAAGAATTCCCAGGGGTATAGTAGAGCTGACAGGGGACAAGGTTGTAGTCACTTCTTGTCATAGCCAGCTACCCAGAGAGACTAAGTAGTTGAACCAGTGGGCTCAGGACCATAGTCACAGGGGACATCAAACTCAATTGGCCTAACATACTACCACAAAACATTGTTCCATCTCCTACTTTGGCGAGTAGCAACTGTGATCTTGGAAGCTTTCAGGCAGCTGTCTGGATGTAGCGATGGGTTTCTCTTCGTTCAGGGCAGGGAAGAATGAAGAGGGCCGGAGATTCATGGAAACAGTTGGTCCTCGTGACTGGTGCACCATGCGATCCTCAGCCTATGTGACTGTGGGACCAGAGGAATTGGGTGGTGCCCGACTACCACTGTCAACCGCTCAGAGGGGAATCTTTGGGGAAGATCCTGGATAGAAAGGGAGGGTAGTGTGGAACTAAACTCAAAATCCTTTGGGAAAAAAAAAAGCGGGGAAGAACGACCGGGTATGCTGATCTGGTAGAGCCTGCTGGAACCACTAGGACTGTGGTCCATGACTGTCCTTCAGATCTGGAGTTGGGCCCACACCTGTGGCTTCCAGCCGGGCAGGAGACAGGCATGTGAATTGAGCATTTACTTGGGGTGGATACACTCCTTGGAGAGAGCAATCATGGAAGAAGGAGGGGCTTTTTAGCCACAGAAGGACAGTTCAGGGGGCAGGAGTGCATGGGGGGATGGATACAGGGAGGAAGTAACTGTCGGGAGGAAGTGGGAGGGGAGCTGTTGCATTGGGGTAAATTGTAGTCCATGTCATGAGACAAAGTGTATGTGAACTGCTGTATGGAAAGTGAATTTGCTCTGTAAACTTTCACCCAAATCACAATTAAAAAAAAAAAAAAAATGCAGGTTTTCAGTAATCTTTATTTTCTCTTCCAGGATATTCCAGTCAGAGTCTAATATGAAAATATTGAAAAGATCAGAAATTGCAGGTAAATACATCACTGCAATTCCTGCTAAATCTATTTTCTTTAAAATTTTACTGTGATCATCACCAGATAATTGATACAACTCATTTTCTGTCTTAATGCTTTAAATATATGACTTGAATCATGGGAGTGGGAAGTAGGATGGGTGGTGGTGTTGTTATGTGCCATTGAGTCGGACCTGACTCATAGCGACCCCTCCTTGGGTTTCCGAGGCAGTATCACTATGGAAGTAGATTGCCTAACCTTCCTTCCGAGGAGTGGCTGGTAGGTTTGAACCTCCACCCTTCTGGTGAGTAGTCAAGTGCCTTAGATACTACGCTACCAGAGCTCCCATTAGGATGGGTAGTGAATAATTTTTTTTTAAATAGTTTTTAATATCCTTATGAATTTTTCTAATGCTGTATCAATTTATCTGTGAAAAATTTGTTGTTTTATTTATAGAAAAAGAAGAAAGAGAAAATGTTCTGCTTATGCAGTAAGTAAAGAAAATATGGTTCGAATTGTATCAATGAAGTAATTTATTGCTTTTAAATGAGTGAAGCATTTTTTTAAATACTCTTTTTTTTAAATTTAATTTTTATGTCTCTTTCATGAAATATTTAGGATTAATTCTGAAATGTATTCTTTGCAGAATTCAATTTACTGCTTTAAATAGGTATATTGTACACTTTATAGTTTTAATAGAGTGATAGAACACTCTATTCTTATACACAAATCCTTAAAATACATCAGTCTGTGCAAAACAATGAATACAAAGCTTCAGATTTTTTTAATCTCTCTTATTATAATATCAATACATAGAAAAATAACTACTAATAACTCCTGAGCAAATAAAAAGATACTTATCTTCATTCATTATAGGAAAAATACAAATTAAAATGATAATTGAAATACAATTTTTTGTTTAATTAATTAAGGCTATAGGTAAAAAAGGAGCTCTGGTAGCATAGTGCCTAAGGCACTTGACTGCTCACCAGAAGGCTGGCGGTTCAAACCCACCAGCACTCCTCGGAAGGAAGGTTGGGCAATCCTACTTCCGTAGTGATACTGCCTCGGAAACCCAAGGAGGGGCCGCTATGAGTCGGGGCCGACTCGACGGCAAACAACAACAACATAGGTAAAAAGGCATTAATTACTAGTGGGAGTAGGAATTGGAATTATATCTGTGGAAGGCAATTTTGCAATATTGATCAAAATTTTAAATGCACATGCCCTTTGACTTTGCAGTTTTGTGTCTGGGAGAATTTGTTTGACCAATATACTTGTAATGTTTGTAATGAATGTAATGTTTGTTATTCACTGCTACATTATTCATTGTAATAACAAAAGATTTTAAAGACCCATCAATAAGATACTGGTCAAATAAATTACAAATATTCCATGTAATTGAATATTATGTAGCTGGGGAATTTTTTAAAAAGGGATTCTCTTAATGTACTGAATACAGAAAAATCTCTAAGCTGTATTACAAGGCAAGATGCAAAACAAAGTGTGTGTATGGGGTGTGTGTATACATATACATATGTGTTGTGTATTTATATATATTTTCACACATCTGTGTGTATATACATATACACAAGACACATTTGTATATATTGAGATATATTCCTAAAATATCTCTGGAAGGATCATAAGAAACTAGTATAATTGATTATTTACCGAGAAGGGAACTGGATGGCTAGAGGATACTTGTTGGAAGGGAGCCTTTTGTGCTTTATAATTTAGGACCATGTGAATGTATTACCTATCAATTTTTTAAAATTAAAATTGTTGAGACATAAATCAAAGTAATAGTATTCATGGTTTCAAAAACATACAGAGGCCATAAAGAGAAAAGTGAAAAATGTATTCCCTCTTCCTCAAATGACCCACTCTCCACAGGTAACCACTGTTGATAATTTTGAGTGCCTTTGCAGACATTTTCTGTATGTATCCAAGTACATGTTTATATTTAGCTTTTTTAAAAAGCAAAACAAAAATGAGATCACTTAATAATATGTTTTGTAACACTTCTCATGTCATTATATATAAGACTACCACAGTCTTTTATAATATATTATGTGTCTGTGCCAACATTTATTTTGTCAAATGTTGTGATTCTTGTTAATTATTATGAGTATATATTATTAAGAGTCCCTGGGTGATACAGATGGTTAAGTGCTTGACTATTAGCCTACAGATGGGTGGTTCAAGCCCACCCAGAATGCCTTAGAAGACAGGCCTGATGATCTCCTAAACAGTAACAGACTTAAAAACCCTAGGGAGCAGTTGTATTTTACACACATGAGGCCACCGTGAGTTGGAATCAACACAACAGCAACTAACAATAAATACATTATGAAAATACTGTTTAATTTTTAGGAATAAAAATCCAGAAGATAATCACTGTGAGATTACTGGTGAGTATGAACCAGGATACTTTTTATACACTATATACTTTTTCCTTCATCAGATTCCTTGATAAGTAATATATAAAAGAACCATAAAAATGGCAAGACATGAAAAATGTCATCAATGTCCATGAGCTGTAAATGTGGAAGTTGTCATATTCAAGTCCTCGTTATTCTTTCTTGGATTATTATATTTTGTCTCTTACCCTTCTAACATGATATATATTTATAAATCTGGCATTACTTCCCAGCTTAAAATTATTTAATGGCACATTTTTTGTTTACAACATAAAGGCCACATTGCTTAGCACTGGCTTAGAAATCCCTTTATAATATCCAGTGTTCTAGCCCATGATGAGCTAATTGCAGTTCCCTATGTAGACTTCTTTTGTGCCTCTGTGCATTTGTAAATACTATTTCCTCTACTTAAGGTGTTCTTCCTTCTCTAATTTGCCTTGCAGTCTTCTTACTTTTTAAGACTCTACTTGAGTTCTATTCAAAGTAGCCTGTTCAGGAACTCTGGTAACAAAGTGCCTAAGGCATTTGACTGCTAACCAGAGGCTGGTGGTTCAAACCCACCAGCCCCTCCTCGAAAGGAAGCTTGGGCAATCTACTTCTGTAATGATACTGCCTCAGAAACCCAAGGAGAGATCAAACTGTTACAATCCATTGCAGAAAAGGAGCTTGTGCTTGAATGTAAATCAACTATGAAAGTAAGCCACTGTTTAGTTTAACTGACATTTTTGTCTTAGCATGGCTTTCTTTTTCTTTTTATTGTGATTTGGGTGAAAATTTACAGAGCAAATTCACTTTCCATACAACAGTTCACATACACTTTGTCTCATGACACTGACTACAATTTACCACAATGCAACAGTTCCCCTCCCATTTCCTCCTGATAGTTACCTCTTCCCTGCGTCCATTCCTCCATGCACTCCTGCCCCTGAGCTGTCTCCCTGTGTATAAACAGCCCTTCTTTCTCCCATGATTGATCTCTCCAAGGAGTGTATCTACCTCAGGTAAATGTTCAACACATATGCCTGTCTTGTTTTGGTGGAAGCTACAGGTGTGGGTTCAATTCCACACCTGAAGGGCAGGCAGCTAAGGGCCGTAGACTCAGGGGTTCCACTAGACTCTATCAGAAGCATGGTTTTCTTAATGAAGGAAGTGGTACATGATTTAAATTTGCTGCAAGCTTTTTATCTCATCATGAATTGGAAAAAGCAGTTCACAGACTAGCACCATACTTAAAGTAGCACTGACTTAGATGAAGTCTTCTCTGACAAAACCAAGGACTTAGACAGTTTGTCCCATGTTCCCACAACATATTTTTATTCTTCAGCTTATTGTAGAATTTATTATCACATGTTTTAGGTGTTTACTTCTGGCTCTGTTTGTCAAAATAGGAGCTCTTTGAGGCCAGCAATTTTGTGTTGTTCTTTTTTATTCCTAGTTCAGTTTTTGGCCTATAATAGGTTCTGAATCAATATATTGAATCAATGAATGGAAGCCTAATATATAAATAAGGTTTTTAGTTAAAAGCCTATAATTATTTCATTATACACGTGAGGTTGCCATAAACTCCTTAAAATGTTCTAAAGATTTGCCTTTAAACTGAAGTATTTTAAAATGTATTTCCTGTTTGAATATAGTATTGTCAATCCCTTCTTTATTTCCAAAGTCTAATTTATTACCTGTATCTTTATATTTCAACCTAAAATGTCTTAAGTCTAATCCCCTATTTCAATCTTATTATCTCTTGTCCTAGCATAAACTTTCATCATTTTGTATCTGAGTTATTGTAGTAGCTTCCTCACTGGTTACCTTCTTTTGAATTTACTATCTCCTCTGCTGGAATTATTTTTATAAAATGCGTATCTTATCATAGGAATATCTAGATGCCTTAACATGGAGTAAAAGACACTTTAGAATCTTGCCCTTTCAGTCCCATCACTTGACACTCTTCACCATGTAACCTCTGCTTTCCAGAAAGAATAAGTGAAAGAAAAAAAGCAGTCATAGCCTTTACAGTCTTTACCATATTCTAAAAAGATTTTAGTCACATAGTGGCTCACTCTGAGACTAAAACAGGACTATTAAATAACTATAACTGATAAAGAATCTTAAGGAAAGAAGAGTAAGGCCCCTGGTAATATATAATGTTTAAGTCATTAACTACAGTTTTTTCCTTTTTTTCTCAATAGGGATGAACACATTGCTCTGTGCCCCCATTCAGATTCAGATGCAACAGAGAGAAGTATGTGTTCATGCAAGTTTCTTCATATTTTAACCTCTCTTGACAGTTAAAACTTATTTTTTTAAAAAACATCAAATTTAATGATAATGGCATGACTTAGGAGTGACTTACAGAAATGGACCAGCATAGACTGGAAAAATGTCCCACTTTATATAGTTAAATCACTACTAGTTAAGATAATATGTAGATGTATTAATTATACCAGAACCTCTCAAACTTTAATGAGCATGGGAATCACCTAAGGATTTTGTTAAAATACAGATTCTTATCCAGTAGATTTGGGGTAGGTCCCAAGACTCTGTATTTCTAACAGTGTCCTAAATGATGCTAGTGTACTGGTCCATAGAACACACTTTGATTAGCAAGGAATTAGACTATGTCCTTACATATAAGGAGCTCTGGTGGCGTAGTGCCTAAGGCATTTGACTGCTAACCAGAAGGCTGGTAGTTCAGACCCACCAGCCACTCCATGGAAGGAAGATTGGGCAATCTACTTCCATAAAGATTTACCACCTAGAAAACCCAAAGGAGGTCGCTGTGAGTCAGAATCAATTCAGTGACAGTGAGTTTGTTTTTTTTGAGTTTTCTTACATATGAAGCCACTGAATTAAGACTCAGAGAGAATACATTTCCCAAGAACACAGAGTGTAATATGAAGATTTTCAGCATGATTATATCTGGTATTATCAGGCTTTTTCACTTTTGGGTATGTAACTAACCTTGAATTTTTAATTTATCCAAAATTATTCACAGGCATTATCAAAACCAAAAACCAAACTCACTGCCGTCGAGTTGGATCCGACTCATAGCGACCCCTCCTTGGGTTTCCGAGGCGGCATCACTACAGAAGTAGATTGCCCAACCTTCCTTCTGAGGAGTGGCTAATGGGTTTGAACTGCCAGCTTTCTGGTTAGCAGTCAAATGCCTTAAGCACTATGCCACCAGAGCTCCCTTCATAGACATTAGAAAAGTCATTAATAACAAATTACTTGCTATACACTATACCATTGAATCAAGCCAGTATTTCATGAAATCATCATTGAGGATTGTTTTTAATGTTTTGTATTGTTGTACATGTTATATAATGCTTTTAAAAAATAAGTTTACTGTTGGTTTGATCTCTTATCATTTGCTTTCATTATAGTTTTCAATTATAGAACATAACCATGGAAGGAAATATGGAAATGACCAGACAATTATTTCTTCAGATGAAAATCAGATGGACCTGACAGCAAGTCACACCGTGATGATTGCCAAAGGTGTTTTAGATTGCACCAAAAGTGACAAATCCATCAAGATAGATACCAAGTCATTTCTGGCTAGCTTAAAGTTCCACACTGAAGATTCAAAATTGAAAAAAGAATTAAATGTTTCCATGGATCAAAATACTTCTCCAGAAAAGAAAATAAATTTCAGTGACCTTATAAAAAGATTGAAAGTGGGAAAATCTAAAGCTTCTCCTTCTAAAGAATCTGATAAAGAAAATTGTGAACTATCTGTTCATGCCAAAGAATCAAATAATGCCTGTTCTGTAAATCAAATACATCTTAATGTAGATGAGAATAGCAGTAATAGAACTAGAATTTTTAGAGAGCAAGAGGATGAGATGAATTTCACTCAGTGTCATATAGCCAATATTCAAACTTTGGTTCCTATATCCAATGAGGCTAGCTTAAGAGAAGTTAAAAGCAATGATATTACAATTTGTGGCAGTGATTTCATGGACTTGACAATTAACCACACTGTACAGATTTTACCATCAGCAAATAATTTATCTGAAATAGAAGATCAGACTCAGAATGTCCGGATGGATGTTACAACAGGTTATAGAGCTAAATCTCCTGGGAAGAAGAAAAACTTTGAGAATGAATGGAATGCTACATTTCAAGACTCTATCTTGAACCCTGAAAATGAAATACATATTACTAAAAGTCATATTACGGGAGTAGAAACTCACACAGTCACACAGACCTGTAACCAAGATGTCAAAAGTTTGGCCATGATCTCAGAATCTGTATGTACCAATTTGACTGTTCCAGATAAAAAGACAGTTTTTTCTTCTAGTTGTAGTAATGCCATAGAACTGACCAAGTGTCTCTCAAGTATGACAGAAGAGAAAAATTTACTAAAGCATGATAGTAATTATTCTAAAATATGTCCCAATTCAGATGCCATCTCTCTTCTTGAAGAAAAAACCTTTTATTCAGGAGAGGATAGCATGGATATTACTAAAAGTCACACAGTTGCTATAGATAATCAAATTTTTAAGCAAGATGAGACAAATGTACAGATAGCAGCTACACCAATATCTGAAGGAGGAATGATGCTCCAAAATCATGTAACTGTGGCAGAAGATGGGAAGATGGATATAAATTGTAGTTCAGTTCCTTATGTATCCAAGGAAAGACTACAGAGGAGCCTAGCAAATTCTTCATCTATTTCATTGACTGACAGAAAGACTAAACTCTTCACAAATGAGGATATGAATTTAAATAAATGTCATACAGGTAACTTAGGAAGTCAAACTCCTCTTGCATCTGGTAATCTAGCACAAGAGAATACCAGGAAATGTCACTTTCCCAGCAAAAGCTCTTCAGATGAATGGGAAAAAATGACTAAAAATCACACTGAACCATCTCCACAAAGAATTGTGGTATCTGAAAACTTAACTACTACCTTGGGCAATGAAAAAGATCAGGTTTTGAAGATTTCACACTGTCTTGATAAAGACTTTCCTCAGTCAGTTGGTTGTAACCAGAATATAGCTAAAACTCATAATATCATCTCTAGTAGAGATCTTGATAAACAAGTAGCATTGGGAAATAATAGAAATACAGTTTCTTGTGAGCAATCTTTGTTTTCTGCCACAAAGCCTTTATTTTCATCAGAAGGACAATCATTCGTGAAAAATCATAATACTACTGTTAACAGCCGTACAGTGGTATCTGTACCAGGTGAGAATTCTAAACTGCCTGAGCCATTGAGGAAAAGTTTAGGCAGTCCCACACCTAACTGTTCTCATGACAAGATGATTATTTGTTCAGTGGAAGAGCAAAATATGGATTTAACCAAAAGTCATACTGTTGTCATTGGATTTGGTCCTTCTGAAGTGCATGACATTGGTAAGACTAATTTAGAATCCACTAACAGTCAGCTAACAACAATAAGCAGGCAGATAGCTGATAAATTCAGAGAGTGTAATAAAAGTCCTATAAAAAAACCTGGAGTGTTTATATCTAATGATACAGAAGTATTGGAGGACAAAACTTTACAAAAATCTAGATTTCTAAATGAAAAGCAAAATGTCAAAACTTGGGGAAGAAAAAGTATTGGCAGACTGAAAATTGATAAGACTATTTTATTTTCAGAGACAGATGAGAATGATATGGATATCACCAGAAGTTATACAGTAGAAATAAATCATAGACCTTTATTAGACAAACATGATTCCCATTTGATGCCTCTGGCAGGTACTTCTGAAACTGTTCTGGATACATATGGGCAGGATGAAATGGAGATGACTAGAAGTCACACAACTGCCTTAGAATATAAACCTGTCTCACCAGATGAAGTAACTACTAGGCCTATAGACAAGACTGTAATGTTTGTAGATAATCACAATGATCTAGAAATGACAGAGTCCCACACCGTTTTCATTGATTACCAAGCAAAGGAGAAAACTGGGTTTCCAGTCAGACCTAACTTTGAGCTACCTAAAATTAAAAACCTAGGGAAACCAGAAGTGGCATCTACTCCTGATGAGAAGAGTGTTTTCTTTCCAGATGATGGAGAAAATGACCATCCAGCAGCAAAAGGCATCCAGCTGTCACTACCGGGGGAATGGTCTAGTAGTGGTTCTGTAGAGAAAGCTGTCACATCTATAGCTGATGATAACATGAAGGTGTTTAAACCAATGGCTTGGAAGAATGACAGAGATACACAAAAGCCTGTATTTCTGAATGAACCTCAATCTGGCAAAAGCCAGAGAAGGAAAAGCCTTGGACTCAAAAATGACAAGACTCTTGCATTTTCAGAAAATGATAAAAATGATATAGACATCACTCAGAGTTGTGTGGTGGAAATAAATAACAAAAGTGCCCTAGAAGATCGAGAGGACTCCCACTTGATACCTATGGCAGAAACTTCTAAAACTGCTGTATATACATGTGGGAAAGGTGACATGGATATGACTAGAAGTCATACAACTGCCTTAGAATGTAAACCTGTCTCACCAGATGAAGTAACTATGAGGCCTATAGACAAAACTGTAATGTTTGTAGATAATCATAATGATGTAGAAATGACAGAGTCCCACACTGTTTTCATTGATTACCAAGCAAAGGAGAGAACTGTGTTTCCGGTACAGCCTAACTTTGAGCTACCTAAAATAAAAAACCTAGGGAAACCAAAAGTGTCATCTACTCAGGAGGAGAGTGTTTTCTTTCCAGAGGATGGAGAAAGTGAGCATGACCATCCAACAGCAAAAGGCATCCAGCTAACACCACAAGGGGAATGGTCTAGTAGTTTTATAGAGAAAACTGTAGCATTTACAGCTGATGATAATATGGAGGTGTCTAAACCAATGACTTGGCAAATACAAAAGCCTGTATTTCTAAAAGAACCTCAATCAGGTACAAGTCAAAGAAGCAAAAACCTCAGGCTCAGAAATGACAAGACTGTTGCATTTTCAGAAAGTGATAAAAATGATATGGATATCACCCAGAGTTGTATGGTGCAAATAAATAACAAAAGTGCCCTAAAAGATGGAGAGGACTCCCATTTGATGACTATGGCAGAAACTTCCAAATCTGCTTTGTATACATGTGGGCAAGATGCCATGGAGAGCACTAGAAGTCACACAACTGCCTTAGAATATAAACCTGTCTCACCAGATGAAATAACTACTAGGCCTATAGACAAGACTATAATGTTTGTAGATAATCACAATGATCTAGAAATGACAGAATCTCACACCGTTTTCATTGATTACCAAGCAAAGGAGAGAACTGTGTTTCCAGTCAGACCTGACTTTGAGCTACCTAAAATTAAAAACCTAGGGAAACCAAAAGTGGCATCTACTCCTGATGAGGAGAGTGTTTTCTTTCCAGAGGATGGAGAAAATGACCATCCAGCAGCAAAAGGCATCCAGTTATCACTACCAGGGGAATGGTCTAGTAGTGGTTCTATAGAGAAAGCTGTCACATCTATAGCTGATGATAACATGAAGGTGTTTAAACCAATGGCATGGAAGAATGACAGAGATACACAAAAGCCTGTATTTCTGAGTGAACCTCAATCTGGCAAAAGCCAGAGAAGGAAAAGCCTCAGACTCGAAAATGACAAGACACTTGCATTTTCAGAGAGTGATAAAAATGATAGGGATATCACTCAGAGTTGTGTGGTGGAAATAAATAACAGAAGTGCCCTAGAAGATCAAAAAGATTCCCACTTGATGCCAATGGTAAAAACTTCCAAAACTGTTTTGTATACATGTGGGCAAGATGATATGGAGATGACTAGAAGTCACACAACTGCCTTAGAATGTAAACCGGTCTCACCAGATGAAGTAACTACTAGGCCTATAGACAAGACTGTAATGTTTGTAGGTAATCATAATGATCTAGAAGTCACCAAGTCACACACTGTTTTTATTGATTGTCAAGCCATGGAGAAACTACTTCAAGAGTGCCCTAATTTTGGAACAACAGAAGGAAATAACTTGGGTGTTTCTTTTCCTAAGAATGACAGTTCTGTTCAAGAAATCACTAAAAAACAAGCACTGGCCATAGAAAACAAAATCATTCCTCATGGTGAACAACTCTATCATATGGTACCCTTTGTTCTTACTAATACATTGTCTGGGGATCAAGATGAGATGGAAAGTAAAAAATTTCATAGCACTGCTGTGAATGAAGAGGTTTTGGAGAAGATTGTAGATAGGACCTGTACATTGGGAAAGGCCAAAATGGAAAGCTATAGAATAGATAGAAGAAATACAGATTTTATGAGCAGTCCTGCAACTGTTACTTGTAGATCCAGTGATAATTATTCCTGTTTACCAAATGCAGTTTCCTTTGTTGATAATTTGGAGGGGAATATCATGTCCTTGTGTGGTAAAGAGAAAGAGAAAGCTAGTAATTGTACTGTGCTGAATGAGCTTCCTTATGCGAATAATTTGGCAGCTGAATATTACCTGAAATCTGAGGAACTACCTATCTCTGTTCCTTTTCCTTTGTTAGAGAAGGCAGAAGTTACTCAAACCAATGGTAAAGGACAGTTAGACTGTGTCATAACACTACCCAAAGACCAAGACAATTTGGTTAAGAAGCCCCAAAATACATTAGCTAATCGAACTTTAGTAGGTAGTCAAGATCTGGGGGAGATGACCAGACTTAATTCAAAGCAAGTATCTTTTAAGCTTCCAAATGATCAAATGGAGGATTTCGTTGATAATGCAGAACGGAGTTTAAAGATCTTTGTTGATGTTGGTGTTTCTCAGCCTCATCTCTCAACTCAGCTACCGCCATTAACTCAAGAAGGACAAAATGTTGTCAATAAAGATGAAACAATATTGTCTGAAGCTGGATACAAGAATTTAGATATTGTTACAGGAAATTCCTCTGTAACCACATATGAAAATGAGTCCACAATGCTCAATAATGAGGAGCAGTTTACTATACCCTATAAAAAAGAATTGAAGGAAAATGTACCAACAGCTAAATGTGGTACAGATACAGATGTCCGCAGTAACTCAGACTTGACAAAGCAAGTCAGCCAAACCCATGCCAATCTTAGAGAACCATCAGATACTGTGAGTACATCTAATGCTCCAAGTTTTAGTAGTACCAAACCAAATCTGAATAATTTGAATGGAAAAACTGAAGATGTTTTAGATTTTCAAATTGTTCATATACCACCTCCTCCAGAACAGTTACTTGATTTAGCAAATCAGGCACCCATTATGAGTACCATGCAAGCCACAGACAAACATAATAGTGACGTAGTATCCAGCAATGCTAGTAGCAACAATAGAAATGAAGAAAATAAAAATTCTGATAATGGAGCTGAAATCAATTCTGTACCATTAATGACAATTGGAAAAGAGAAAAATAAAATGAGGAAATGTTCTTTGGGAATCTTTTTGCCAAGATTGCCAAACAAGAGAAATTGTAGCGTCACTGGTGTAGATGACCTGGAGCAGAATCCAGCCAACACAACTGATTTAAATCACTTAGAAACTCAGCCGGTCTTTAGCAAAGATTCAGGCATTGGGTTTGTTGCAGCTAAGCTGAACTTAAGTCCATCTCAATATATAAATGAAGAAAATCTTCCTATATATCCTGAGATTAATTCTTCAGACTCAATTAGCATAGAGACTGAAGAAAAGACTTTGATTGAGACATACCAGAAAGAGATTTTACCATCTGCAAATGAAGCAGAAGAAACCTGGACTACTCAAAAAAGAACTTGGGTACAAGAAGAAGATGATGATACTCAGAATGAGAAAAAAATCAGGAAAAATGAGATCAGACTTAGTAACACTGCACAAGATCAACAGGTAAGCTCTGTCTTGAACCAAGGAATGTTACTAATTTTAGTTTTAGTCAGAAATTGATTATTTCCAATTAAAGGGTTGGAGAAATATTCGTATGTAGAACTCAGGAATTAATTGATGTAACATCTAGACTTAAAAACAATTTGAAGTGACAAATAGATACAGAAAAATGAAATATAACATAACACAAAAATTAACTTGCATTGAAATTATATAATTCTAAATATTATGCCACCTCTGGTGATTTGTCAATGATTCTTGGGTGGCTTTGCATATGAGAATCTCCAGGTAGGGTATATGTAGTTTGAAAGTCATGTTCGGCTTTATAAACATTCGGGGAATAAAACACCTTTCTATTACATGAACATAAAGAACAACTTGACTGAATTGTCTTGGCTAATGAAGATATATAGAAACAGAGTCCCTTTCTTTAGTGGTTGGCAGAATGTCCATGTCAAGCTCAGTATCTCGAAGTGAGTGGAATTTTATATTTATTTAAAAAAGGGCATATATAAGAGTTGAGAAACACCGATTTAGGTAATTTTGGGGAAAACAAAACTTGTCATTCAAACTGAAGATGTACAAGTGTGGAAATAAAGTTTAGAAAAATAGAAAACAAAAGTTTAGACTCTTAAGAAATATAAGCTTAGAAGATGAATTCAGTAATTCTCTAAGATGAAGTCATAAGGAAATATTTGTAGTGGTTCTATAAAATAAATCAATAGGAAATAATTAGGTAGTCTATGAAGCTTTGAGAAAGCAGTAATATAAAATTTAAATGTACAGATTCTATGAAAATTAGTATTTTATTTATTTGTTTCGTATTAAATGCCTGCTGTGTCCCAGGTTAGGTGCTAAGAATGCATCAGTAGAACTGCATAGAGAAAAATCTGGTCTCATGGAGTTTACATTCTAGCATTTAAAATATCTTGTGCTTGGAAAACATCCATAAAGAGATAGATGAAGATGGCTTTTGAGGCTGTTAAGTCAAATGTGGGATTTGTAACTTTTTTTTACTTCAGCCAAAGAAATCTTGGTCAATTGGGGATGGAAATACTAAAGTGTGGAAATAAGTTTCTTTTCTGCATTCTGACACAGACACTATAAATCGCCAATATTCTATGTAAATAGAACTCTAGTTTTGTGTAGTATGGTACCCTTGACCCTGGTGGCTAATAACTGAATAATTGGATTGGTCAACATTTGGTAGCTCTTAGAATCTGGCTATACCTTGGATATATCTGAAATAATTTACTTACACAATATAATGCATAAAGTTATTACTATATATTTTTAAATAAAATTACTTTTGAGATAAATTTAATATTAAAGGACTAAATTGCTTGTTATTTATTATAATTCTTTACTAAGGTATTTCATATGAATTATAGCTAAATTTTGTGTTAGAAATAGTATTTTTGTTAGTGTTCAACAAACATTTCATCATTAGAATCATGCAGTAACATATTTGTATTCTCATGATAATTAATTTCAGATATTTGATCACCATACTGAAGGGGATATAGATAAAAATGCTAACAGTATATTGATGAAAAGCCTAAGCAGGACCCCATCTAGTTGCAGCAGCTCTCTGGATTCAATCAAGGCTGATGGGACTTCTCTGGACTTTAGCAGTAAGATCTTCCTAAAAGCTAAAATAGCAGTTATTTGTTTATTTGACAAATAATAAATATTTCAGTTCAGAAAATATTTGGATATTATATAAGCTTTTTGCAGTTTGCAAATAGTTGATAAGTAAAATGTTTCTTTTTTTATAATCTATTTTATTTTTGTAGTTGAAAATACACATAGAAGAACATACACTAATTCAACAATTTCTATATATATGCAATTCAGTGACATTGATTACACTCACTGAGTTGTACAACCATTCTCATCCTTCTGAGTTGTTCCTTGCCCATTAACATAAACTCATCGCTCCCTAAGTTCCTTATCTAATCTTTCTAGTTGCTGTTGTCAATTTGATCCCATTTAATTTATTTTTAGTTCTTAGTTACTTTAATAAGTGATGTACTACAGAGGAATAGAGTGTTTTCCTTCAGAGACTGATAATTAAAAAAGCATTAAAGAATTCCTCAAAACTAGAATGTACTTTGCCTTGCTAAATTACTGTCTTCCCAGAAACATCTTGGTGGATCACTTCAGGAGCATAAGCTGCACATAAACCTGAAAGATGAAATTAAGTTTGCAATTTAGTTTTGACTTGTTCACCACCTGATTTTGCTTTATTTCTAGCACACCGCAATAGTCAAATGGAATCACAATTTCTGAGAGACACAATTTGTGAAGAGAGTTTAAGAGAGGTATAGTAAAAGTATTTCTCATTTCTAACACAACATCTTACTTTTTATCTTTTACATTTTTTTTTCTTAATTATATTTCAAACATACAGAAGACTAGTTTTCTTTTTCTTTTGTTGAAGACCCAACATGGCAATTAACTATATGAAGTAGGTTAGAAGACCTATAATTTTATCTCAACTCTGCTGTTACTGAATAACTTTGAGAAACCATACTAGATAGATAAAATCTGTCATGTATATTCTACAAATATGAGAATAATATTTCCATAGATGTATGCAAAATACTTTTGAGTTATTTGAAAATAAATGAAGTGGTTATAATCAAAGTAAGCTCATCTTGCATGGTCATGTGAACTTTCTTTCCTCAGAAACTCAAGAATGGGAGAATAACAATAAGGGAGTTCTTCATACTTCTTCAAGTCCACATTTTAATACAGAAACCCCGGCAGAGCAATCTCCCAACCAAAGTAAGTGAAATTTCTTGGCAAAGTAGTTATCTCAATGACAATATATTATATTTTGTTACTAAACTGTATCAAAGCAAGCATTTATTCAAAAGCCAAAAAATAAAAAAGGGAAGCAAATTTTACTATAGAAAGTTTTCCTATAGTTGGTACATTTGCGTGTAGCATAGAAAATAAATCTTGGATTTTTCTTTAAATCATAGCTTTTGATAAGATAAAATTTAAATTTTTATTCTCCCTTCTTGCCATCTATTTTATTTTAGGTTTTTTTTTCCTGATTATAAAATATAAATACTGTATTAGTCTGTTATTGTAAAAAGTCTAGGAAAGGTTTATATACGGAAGCAAATTTTCTTTGTTGATTACCAGGGGTGGAAGGGGAGGGGAGGGAACACTGTTAGATAGGTAGAGACAAGTATTGATTTGGGTGAAGAGAAGGGCAATGTACCAAATGTGAGTGATCAACACGGTGGCATTGAGGGAAGAGGAAGGCATAGAGAGGTACATGGGAGGTACAGACAACAGAGATGAACCCTTTTGCATATATAGTACTGCGTTGTCAGTGAAGGCAAACATGGGTAAACAGGTAGATAGATGGGTAGACAGGCTGAACTATTATGTGTGTCTATGCAGCAGGGAGCATACCCAAGACCATGTATAGGGTTGGCAGACAATGGTTGTACAAGTGTATTTGTATGTTGTGTAAGAATTCCCAGGTGTATAGTAGAGCTGACAAGGGACAAGGTTGTAGTCACTTCTTGGCTACCTACCCAGAGTGACCGAGTAGTTGAACTGGTGGGCTCGGAACCTTAGTCTCAGGGGACATCAAGCTCAATTGGCATAACTTACTACCTAAAACATTGTTCCACCTCCTACTTTGTTGAGTTGCAACTGGGATCTTAAAAGCTTACAGGCTGCCATCTAGATGTAACGATGGGTCTCTCCTCATCCAGAGCAAAGAAGAATGAAGAAAACCAAAGATTCATGGAAACAATTAGTCCTACTGGTACACTATGTGATCCACAGGCTATACGACTATGAGACCAGAAGAACTAGATGGTGCCCACTACCACTGTCAACCACTAGGAGGGAGGTATATGTAGGAGATCCTGGATAGAGAGGGAGAACAATGTGGAACAAAACTCAAAATCATTTGGGGAAACATAAAGGGGGGGGCATCAGGTTTGCTGATTTGATAGAGCCTGGTGGAACCACTGAAACGATGGCTCCTAGATGCTCCTCAGGTCTGGAATTGAACCCACTCCTGTGGCTTCCAGCCAAACAAAAGATAGGGATATGAGTTGAACATTTATCTGAGCTAGATACACTCCTTGGAGAGAACAATCACGGGAGAAAAAAGGGCTGTATAGAAGAACTAGATGGTGCCCAGCTACTCAGAAATAGATCGAAATTGAAAATGTTGGATAAAGTGGAAGAAAAATGTAGAACAAAACTTCAAAGTCATAAAAAAAGACCAGGCTTATTGGTCTAATAGAGACTGGTGAAACCCCTGAGACTATAACCCCTAGTCATCCTTCAGACTATCATCAAGAAAGGGAAAAGAAAACCCACAGAATGGGAGAAAACATTTACAAATCATATATCTGATAACGGACTTATGTGTAGGATATATAATGAACTCAAAAAGACAGCCCAATTGAAAACTAAATAAAGGATCTGAATAGACATTTGTTGAAAAATAGGCAGATGACTAATAAGCACATGAAAAGAATGCTCAACATCATTAGGGAAAAGCAATTTAAAACCACAGTGAGACACTGCTTCACACCCATTAGGATGATGATACTAGCAAAGATGGAAAATAAGTGTAGTTGAGAATGTGGAGAAATTGGAACTCCTCATACATTACTAGTTGAATTGAAAAATGTTACAGCAGCTTTGGAAAAATTTGACAGTCCCTTTAAAAGATAAACCAAATTAACTATCTGACCTAGCAATTCCACTCTTGGTTATATACCCAAGAGAAATGAATACATATGTCCACACAAAAGCTGAAAATGAATGTTCATAGCATTCATTAATAGCCAAAAAGGAGACTGGCTCTTGCTAGGGTGGGGGTGAGGGCAGTGGCAAGGAAGCAGTAGGGAGAATGGGGAATAACAGCTAATGGGTACAAGGTTTCTTTCAGAAAAGAAAAAAATGCTCTAAAATTACATTGTGGTGATGGTTGCACACCTCTGAATATACTTAAAAGAAACTTATATGGGTGAATTACTCAGCATGTAAATTATATCTCAATAAAGCTATTTTTAAAAAAAATCAATTCCAGGAGGATTATATATCTAAATGTGAAAAATATGAAGAATGGAAAATGAGAGGATGGGCACACTCTTGGGCCCCCAGCCTCGTTATTCTGGTCACCAAAGCTGCCCTTTCCCTCTGGATCCTCTTGCTTCAGTTGTAAGTAGGGAAGAAAAGGTACTTAGACATACATACAGGTTTTGTACCCTTGGTAGGAAAAGCAGGAGTACCAGGGGACCAGAAGAAAGCAGAGAAGAAGGAGAAGGGACAGAGAGGATGCTGGCAGGGTGGAGGAGAGAGAAGAGACATGGAACTAACTTTTTTTTTTTTTTTTAATGTTAATTTGAAATTTATTCATTTATTTTTAAAAAATTAATTTTGTTGTTATTGTTGAGAATATAGATAACAAAACATCAATTCAATTATTTCTACAGTGTTTCAGTGATAATTGATTGCATTCTTCAAGTTGTGCAACCATTCTCACCCTCCTTCTCTGAGTTGTTCCTCACTTATTACCATAAACTCACTGTCCCCTAAGGTTCCTATCTAATCTTTTGAGTTGCTATTGTCAATTTGATCCCATATAGATAGTTCTTAAAAGAGCATAATGGAAAAAAAAAAAAATGCTTTTTTTTTTCTTTTCCTTTTTTAAACCAGTTAAGCTAAACTACTATTTGGTTTTAAGAAGGCTCCAGGGATATTTTTTGGGGGATTAAGGCTTAAAGATTATCTAAGGGCAGTAGAGGAGCTCTGGTAGCATAGTGCCTAAGCCACTTGACTGCTAACCAGAAAGCTGGTGGTTCAAACCCATTCGCAGAGAATGAGAATGAGAAAATTCCTTGGAAGGAAGGTTGGGCAATCTACTTTCATAGTGATACTGCCTCAGAAACCCAAGGAGGGGTCGCTACGAGTCGGGTCCAACTCGGCGGCAAACAACAACAAGGGCAGCAGTTTCAGGGATTCATCCAGCCTCCATGGTTCCAGAAAGTCTGAAGTCCATCAGAATTTGAAATTCTGTCCCAGGTGTATAGCAGAGCTGACAAGGGACAAGGATATGGTCAGTTCTTGACCACAGCCCGCTACCTAGAGGGAGTGAGTAATTGGACCTGTGGGCTCGAGACCATAGTCATAGAGGACATCAAGCTCAACTGGCATAACATACTACACAAAAACGTTGTTCACATCCTGCTTTGACGAGTAGCGACTGTGATCTTAAAAGCTTGCAAGTGGACATCTAGATTCAGTGATGGGTCTCTCCTCGTCCAGAGTGAAGAAGAATGAAGAAAACTAAAGATGCATGGAAACAATTAGTCCAAGCAACTGGTACACCATGCATTCCTCAGCCTATATGACTATGAGACCAGAAGACCTAGATGGTGCCCGGCTACCACTGTCAGCCACTCAGTAGGGGATCTATGTAGGAGATCCTGGATAGAGAGGGAGAACAATGTGGAACACAACTCAAATTCATTTAAAAAAAAAAAAAAAGCATCAGGTTTGCGGGTCTGATAGAGCCTGATGGAACCACTGAGACTGTGGCCTCTAGAGCCCTTCAGGTCTGGAATTGAACCCATTCCTGTGGCTTCCAGCCAAACAAAAGACAGGCATGTGAGCTGAACATTTACATTAGGTATATATACTCCTTGGAAAGATCAATCATGGGAGAATAGAAGGACTGTGTATGCACAGAGAGATAGCTCAGGGGGCAGGAGTGCATGGGAGACAAGGACATGGAGAAGAGGTAACTATGGGGAGGAAGTGGGAAGGGAGCTGTTGTATTGTTGGAAATTGCAGTCTATGTCATGAGAAAAAGTATATGTGAGCTGCTGTGTGGAAGGTGAATTTGCTCTGCAAACTTTAACCCAAATCACACTAGAAATTAAAAAAATAAAAGAATTTGAAATTCTGTTCTTCATTTTCCTCCTTTTGCTCAGGACTCTGCTATAGAATGTTTAATCAAAATGTTCAGTAATGGTAGATGGGTACCATCCAGTTCTTATGGTCTAGTGGCAAAGGAAGCAGTTGTTCTTGAAGGCATTTAACCACACATTCTATCCCCTCCTCCTATTCTTGACTCTCTTTCTTTTGTTGTTTTAGGACAATAGAGACCAATGGTTGTGCCCTGGGTGCCTGCTTGCCAGCTTGTAAGATCCCAGGCACTATGCATCAAACTAGAAGGTAGAACAGAAGCACTAAATGTGTTATTAGGCCAGTTAACTGAGATGTCCCATGAAACCATGATCCTAAACCTCCAAACTAAGAAAGCAAATTCTACAAAGTATTGGTTGTACATAAGCAGCCTCAGCAGCTACTCTTTTTTTGTGTGTGTCTTTGTTGTATATATGTCTGTTACAAAGAACTTACTCTTAAGAGTTGAGGGTATAGATCTTTTTCCTCCCAGGCCTTACAGAGGTCAGGAAGACCAGTGATAGGGAAATAGATCTGGGGACAAACCCAGGCTTTCATTTTAAATTGTTACTCTGTTTCTTGTATTTTTGATAAACTATAGAGACTTGGTTAGATTCAGATTTTTCCAAGTTTACTTTATAGTTGTATTTCTACCAGAAGATAGATAATGTCTAGTGATGATGTATATTGTTGTTGTTGTTTGCCATTGATTCAGACCTGACTCATAGCTACCCCTCCTTGGGTTTCCGAGGCAATATCACTACGGAAGTAGATCGCCCAGCCTTCTTTCCAAGGAGTGACTGGTGGGTTTGAACAGCCAGCCTTCTGGTTAGCAGTCAAGTGCCTTAGGCACTACGCTACCAGAGCTCCTAGTGGCTTAGTGCCTAGGGATTTGACTGCTAACCAGAGGCTGGCGGTTCAAACCTACCAGCCACTCCTCGAAAGGAAGGTTGGGCGATCTACTTCCATAGAGATAGTGCCATGGAAACCCAAGGAGGGGTTGCTATGAGTTGGATCCGACTTGACGGCAGTGAGTGATGATGTATAGGCAGTCATTAATCAATCATTATCTAGATCCACTAATTTATTAGGAATTGTAAAGTAGTAATATTCTATCATTCCTTCTTCATTTATTATATAAATACTTCTGTAAGTAGAAATATTATTTATCAAATATTTGGTTGCCCTAGGAAAGGCAGTCAGCCATTTTTTTTAGGATCTCTGCCTTCTGGTAGTAAGAAATTGGTGTTTAGAAAACACCACATGAGCTCTAATGTTGCCATTTCTTTTTGAGCCAGTGCATATAGCTTTGTTTTTTATTTATAATTCTAGCCTTGAAAATACTTTTTAAGAAAGAGAATCAGCTTCAGTTCTAATTGCTTTTAACACTTTTCTACACTTTCTTAGCATATCCATTAGATGATGTGTTAGGGAAAGAGGAGATGAAAACCTCAATCAGTTATTTCCTTTGAAATGACTGACTGAAAGAAGAGAATGGATGGAAACAATTTATTGCATTACTTTAGCAGGCACCACTCTAGGTAACTTTTCAAAAAATTTTAAGAAGCTGGTCAATATTATCCCTGTTGTTTAGATGAGAACACCAAAGCTCAGAGTGGAAAAATAGCATATTTAGTTGTGTGGTTTGATTTTTGTAACTAAAGTGAAGAGCTGACTTTATTTTTCTAATACTGCATCAAGGACAACAAAAAGCCATAGGATTGATTAGAGCAATAAGACATGTTAAAAATAACCAAATTTCACTGCTTTATTTTACATATGAAGGGCATACCCCAAAATGTTTGAGTTCAGCCTGGGAAAGAAATAAGGATCAGGGTTAGAGAATGAGAATAAATGCAACGCAACCATTGCCGTGGAGTCGGATCCGACCCATAGCGACTCTTCCTTGGGTTTCCGAGGCACTATCGCACTATCACTATGGAAGTAGATTGCCCAAACTTCCTTCTGGGAGTGGCTGGTAGGTTTGAACCGCCAGCCTTCTGTTTAGCAGTCAAGTGCCTTAGGCACTACGCTACCAGAGCTCCCGCAGAGAAAGAGAATAAAAAATATAATTGGACACTAGCATTCTTCTCCCCTCCCCCCCCCCCCCCCCCCCCCCCCCCCCGTAAAAGGGTTCCTGGTAAGTTTTGAGTTTTTAGGTATTGATTTTCTTAAAATAATGTACAATCACTTTCAATCTTATGTGATTGGAACATCCGGTCACAATATTCTGCTAAATATCTGGGGAATTGGACTTTGAAGTTTGAGACTTGAATTCATATGTCATCTTGCAGCTTACCAACTTTGTGAATATTCACACTTTTCTTTGTAGAGCTTTTTAAAATAGGCTTACTATAACTTGCATTAGTTCTTAAACATAGTTTTATTTTCAGAATACCAATTTTGAGGGATTTGCTTGTTTGTTTATTTCAGTTTACTATAAACACACCACCTACTCCAGAAGACCTGATGTTAAGTCAATATGTTTACCGACCCAAGATACAGATTTATAAAGAAGATTGTGAGGCTCTTTGCCAAAAGATTGAAGAGTATGAAAGATTTTTTTTTTTCATGTTTTGTTGTTAGATGGGTAAATAGTCTGTGTGGTAAGGTTTGGATTAGAATTGTACTACATGAAAAGAAGTTGATAGTGTTAATTGGCTCCGTGACACGTGGAAAAGTGTTTCAGCTTTGTAGTCAGACAGAATGAAGCTCAAGCCTACAACACTAGCTTTGTAACCTTGGGTAAGTTATTTAACCTTCATTTCCTATCCATAAAGTGCGAATAATAAATATCTACTTAGGTAGAAAGGAGCTCTGGTGGCATAGTGCTTAAGACATTTGACTGCTAACAAGAAGGCTGGTGGTTCAAACCCATCAGCCACTCCGCAGAAGGAAGACTGGTCAATCGACTTCTGTAAAGATTTACCACCTTGGAAACCCAAAGGGGGTCACTATGAGTCAGAATCAAATCGATGGCAGTGTTTGTGTTTGACTTAGGTAGAAATAAGCAGTAGAAATAATGTATATAAAATGTTTTTGTACTATTCTTAGCAAAAAAATAGGCCCTCAAAAATAGTAATTATAAATTATGATACGAATTGATTGGGAGGAAACATCATCCAAATAAGATAGCTCCTTTAGTGATTTATATATAGTGCCTATGGGTTTGTAATTTTATCATATTTTCCCCTGATTTGCATATATAAAATAACATGTTTTTGTTAAAATACAATTCAGGGCTTTAATATACATAAATGATATGTATTGATTTACAAATTAGATATATGTAGATTCCTGCAGATAAATTTAGATTTATAATGCAAAATAGTATTTGTATCATACTTACCTAGGATATCCAACTAAATTTGAACCAACCTATCAAATAGAAAAGAAAATAATCTTTAAGAACTAGAAAGTTAAGATTCTATTAAAATACAGTATTTTAGATTTGCTTGAATCTGATTTGTTGATTCAACAAATATTTATTGAGCACTATGTGGTAAGTGTTGTACTAAGTCCTTGTTGTTGTTATTATGTGCTATCGAGTCGGACCCGACTCATAGTGACCTCTCCTTGGGTTTCTGAGCACAGTATTACCATGGAAGTAGATTGCCCAACCTTCCTTTCGAGGAGTGGCTGGTGGATTTGAACTGCCAGCCTTCTGGTTAGCAGTCAAGTCCCTTAGGCACTATGCTACCAGAGCTCCATAGGAAGGAATTAGGAAGCATTAAATTGAGTATGCCTAGAGATCTGAGTTGGTTCATTCAAGCTGGCTTCTGAATCCTATGCTAATTTACTTTTCTATATTCTAGATTAAAACTCTCTGCTTTGAACCAAGATAAACTGCTGATTGATGTAAATAAGAACCTATGGGAAAAAATGAGACACTGCTCAGAAGAGGAGGTACTTTTGTCTTATTTTCTGAATGGGAATTAGTACAGGAATTTGCAACAATGTTTATGGTGAAATAGTGACTGTTATGTGATAATTAGTGATGAATTCTTTAACTAGTTTCACAAGTTAACTAAGAACCAGTTGCCATCAGTCAGTTCTAACTCATGGTGACCCATGTGATTCATAGTAGAACTGGGCTGTATAGGGTTTTCAGTGGCTGGTTTTTCAGAAGTAGATTCAGATCTTTCTTCTGAGATGCATCTTGTTGGACTCGAACTTACAACCTTTCAGTTTGTAGCAGAGCATGTTAACCATTTATGCCATCCAGGACCTCTACAATGTCTTATGTTACTTATACACAACTAATTGTTAATAAGGAGCCCTGGCTGCATAGTGGTTAAGGAGTTTAGATACTATCCAAAGGAATTTGAACTCACTAGCCTTTGAACTCATCAGCTGCTCCACAGGAGAGAGATGAAGCAGTCTGCTTCCATAAAGATTCACAGCCTTGGAAACCCTATGAAGCAGTTCTACTCTGTCCTGTAGGGTTGCTCTGAGTAGGAATTGACTTGATGGCAGTGTTTGTTTGTTTGTTTATTTATTTTAACTATTTTCAAACCTGAGATAATCAACTTAATGTATGAAACGTATTTGAAGTTTGTTTAGTGTCATATCCTTCCTATTTGCCTTTCACTTAGATTTAGATGAAGAAAAGCTTACTTTAATTGATTAAATAATACAAAAAACTCATTTTATATATGTATCTTAGTGCCTAAGGCACTTGACTGCTAACCAGAAGGCTGGCGGTTCAAACCCACCAGCCACTCCTCAGAAGGAAAATGGGGCAATCTACTTCCATAGTGATACTGCCTCAGAAACCCGAGGAGGAGTCAGTCGCTATGAGTCGGATCTGACTCGATGGCACATAACAACAATAAATAAGAGGGCTTGATTAACTCAGAATCTGTCAGTTTTTTGTCATTTTGTAATATAAAGGCAGGAATCAAGACTGAAATCTTTAGTTCTATTTTTAAACAAGTATACAGAATTAAAGTTGCCCTGCCTTAGGAATCAGTCTAGCATGGGCAAAGCCGAGAGTATGGTAGCTAAAGCAGCTTTCTCAGACTATTTTAATAACCTCTTTTTTACTTGTTTATTTTGGTACAATGTACCCTTTGACTCTACCTTACAGCTAAAGACCTTTGGAATTTACTTGAATAAAATAAAATCACGTTTTACCAAGATAACTAAAGTCTTTACTCACCAAGGAAAAGTGGCTCTCTACAGCAAGCTGGTACAATCAGCTCAGGTAATGTGAGACAGTTAACAGTATAGAAAGAACTATTAAAATGACTTTATAGAAGTTGTGGAATATGAAGAATGTTCCTTAGGAGCCATATGAATGAGACTGGGACAAAAACTTGCAATTATTCATAAAAGGTGTGGTTCAATTTATTAAAAGTGGCAAATGCTGGCCTCTTGAGCAATATTAGAATATAATAATATGGGACTATGTCTGGAATATTGTTATACATTGTACATACTGAGATGAAACACTAGGATTCATGGTTTCCTATTGCAAAGGACTATAATGTAATACTATCACTGTGCATAATGCATACCGAGCTAGGAGCTACATGTGTGAGTATATATATTTAAAGTAGCATTTCTGAAAATGACTATCCTTTTAAGAAATGTTCTGCATAATTTCCAAGTATATAGTAGAGCTGACAAGATTATAAGGTTATAGTCACTTCTTGGCCATAGCCAGCTACCCAGAGAGAACAAGTAGTTGGACCTGTGGGTTTGGGACCATGGTTGAAGGGATCATCAAGCTCAACTGGCATAACATACTATACAAAAACATTGTTCTACATCCTACTTAAGGAAGGTTGGGCAATCCTACTTCCGTAGTGATACTGCCTCGGAAACCCAAGGAGGG